TGTTTTGAAAAACGAGATATCCACCCTTGGTCAGCGCTGAGAATACAGGCCCAGGGAAGTCAGGCCAAACCCTCCCATCATGTAGCTTTGCTCTTTGGGAGAAGGCAGACATACATTGCCAGTCGAATCTTGTGTACTTGTACTGACCCACCCGCAAAATAAGTAAAGGAGAGATATTGTTTTCTATATCAAAAGCATCTCCTGAGGCTTAAAAAAAAGCGCGTAAGGATAAAATGGTAACACATTATGCAGACAGTTGGGATATGGGGAGAGGAACATAAATTTGTGAAGTCCCTGCTATACGCCAGTAGCTGTGAGCTATCTTACCGATGTTATCTTATTCCATGCAATAATGCTGTGAGCTGAGCTTTATTACACCATTTTGCAGACGGATACATTGAAGTTTGCAAAAGGCAACAAGAGGGTCATAATATGCGCAGTTAGTAAGTATGTGTCGAGAGCATTCCTCATGCCAGGAACTGGCTGCCTAAGATGCTAGGCCCCATGAGCTGAGCCAGACTCTGTTTTCTGCTGCTACTATCTAGAAGGGAAGAGGGACAGTGAAGGAGAAGGTACAGGTGTGATGAATACCATCCGAGGAGCAAGACGCTGGAAGGCTTTAAGAGGGAAACTCCCCTCCCATGAGGGTTAGGGAAGTCCTCATGAGAGATCTGATGGAGAAATTGGCATTAGCAAGATAAGGAGAGGAGGGTGCTCAGGGTGGAGAGTGGGGCACGGAGCCCAGGGAGGAGAGGAGGGAGACCAGAGGTGGCCCAGGGCACCATGATCCATGCACAGGCTGCCTGACAGATTTGGATTTGCCGGTAGGGGGATGAGGAGTCTCTGAAATAGCTAAGCACAAAAGTGATTTGATCACTTTAGAAAGAGCACTTTGGAGAAAGGAGAAGGGGAAAGTGGGGGAAAAGACAGAGACCAATTAGAATCGCGATCCAGCCTTCTTGGTGGGAGATAATGCTGGGGATGAGGACAGGAATGAAGGCAGTGGAGATAGCAAGAAGCGGGGAACTTTCTGTAGGAATCCGGACACTTCCCAGGTGTGTGCCATGCAGATACGAGGGCCTGGTAGCACCATTTGCTGACCGCAGGAGGAGGGGATGCTGCCCACATTCCAGCCATGCCGGAGCAGGCTGAAGTCCTGTAAGAAAGATGGGGAGTAACCTGTGGGAAACAAGAAGGCAAGTTATGGAATCACAGAGGAATAGGATGCTGGCAGGAACACTCAGGAGGAAGTGAGCTGAAGCCCAGGTGGAAGGCAGGAGGGAAGAGAAGGAGAGGTGGGAAACAAAGAGGACTGGCTGGCCTCATTCACTCCGGAAAGTAACCCAGTGGCCAAGGAGGTCAGGTCCCAGCCTGTGTGAGTGAACCGAGTCCTCTCCCAGGACAGCACCATCTCTTCCTCTGAGGATGCTGATGCTCATGGCCTGAGTACCAGCCTCTGTCACCAGGAGGAGAGGAGAGCTCAGATTCAGATCCCCCTCTTGAGAAATCACAAGGATCGGTCCACCTCAGGGCACCGAGTGAAAATGGCAGGTGGATTTGGTTTTATAAAGGTTTTCTTTTTCCCAAAAGTTATTTTTCCCCAGGAAGGAACTGAGTGTGTGGGAGGTACCCTATGAGTCCCCCATTTCTGAAAACATCAATCCTCAGTTCATCCCTTTATCAGGGGTTACGATAGGCACCTTTAAAAGCAGTCATCCTCCCACTCCCCCACCTCCCACCCATTGTCAGCGTGTCTTTGGTGGCTAGAATCCCCAATCTGAACAAATAGTGCTCTGCAGGCTGTCATCTTTATTTTCTTTTTCCTCTGGGATGTATCCAGCTCCAGGCCAACTGTGCCAGACTTTGTCCCCATAAGGACCATTCAGTGGAGGACACAGCAAGTGAATAGGGCCCACTAATTGAGTGCCTCCTGTCTTTGTCCTGGCTTTCTGATCTCTTTCCACCCAAGCCAGTGGCATTTTGCTTGTGCACTTCTCCCTGAGTGACACATTAGCTCTTTAGAGATTCCAGTGCCTGATTCCATCAGCCATCCAGAGCCTGTGTGCTTTGGAAAGCCGGTGGGAAATTCAGCAGCCTTCTAAAGATACAGATTACCTGCACATCTGTCAGGGTTTAGTTAAACATGACTGACTAATTTATCCTGCAGTGTGAGACGGGGATTCATTTCCCTTGCAAGTTGACTTGGCAATTTTCTCTGCTCGGAGAACATTTAGAATAGATGGTGTGCATGGCAATTGAGAAGAAATAGATGCTATTAATTTTCCATTTTCAAATGTGAGATTGACTCTAGAGCCCACATCCCACTCCCATCAGGAAAACAGACCACATCCTCTCCCGATATGAGCCGCTTGGCATCTGAAGAGTCATGAGAGTGAGGGCTCTTTCCCGAGCTTCCGAGTCAGGGCTTGTCAGTCACCGTGTCCCTGTGGACCTGCTCCTGAGGCAAACCCATGAGTCACAGCTCCCTCCTGGCTGTGTGCATGGCTTAGCACGAGATGCTGGTTCCCGGCTTGAGCGGGCGTGGGATCTTCTTCCTCAGCCCATCTTTATACACCAAAGGGTGGCGGAGCACTTGGGTGGTGCAGTCCGTTGAGCAGTTGAGCGTCTGCCTCTTGGTTTCGGCTCAGGTCATGATCTCAGGGTCATGAGATCTAGATCTCTGCCCGTCTCTCTAAAATAAACAAAAAACTGAAAAACACCAAAGGGAAGCAGTAGAGATAACAGATATCAGGATATCATGATGAACCTCCAAAAAGTTGGAAATCCCAAAGGGATAGCTGATGTCATCCCATATTATCTAGCTCTTGGGAGACACTCTGTATCTGTGCTGTCTGCCATGGTGTTCCCAGCCGCGTGTGACTGTTCAGTGGGGTGGGTGTGACTGGAAAACTCTATTTTAACTTTTTTTTTATTTATTTAAATTATTAATGTAAATAGGGACATCTGGCTAATGGTAACTGTGCTAGAGAGTACAGGTATCCATTTTCCCCAGCGTCTTATGTGGACAAAGCCAGTCTTGTTGAGGTGCATTTGTCTTACTGTTTTTCTGAATGCTGTGATAAATGCTCTGAGCTTACCTGTAAACCATCCATGAAATCGTGGCTGGCACACGCCGAGTAATTGTTACATACCATTTGCTTTGTAAGCCCTTTACATACTTGGTCGAACTCATGGTCACATAGTGGTATTCTGGGTTTAGAGCTGAGGATATGGAGGCGCTGAGAAGTTGGGAATTGTTGGGGTCACCCAGCCAGGCAGTAGTAAAGCTGGGATTCATTCCAGGCACTGTGAGCCCAGAGCTCTTACACTCTGCTGCCTCTAAAGACAGTTCTTGGTGCCATTTCCTGGCTGGTGTTTTAAGATAGAGTCACGTCCTGGTTGTTGAAAGCAAGGCCAAGTATCTTGAGGTGCTTAATAACGTGAGTGCAAATAATGCGTACACTCCATGCCTGGCCCAGTGTAGATCTGGATCCTGGCTGGAATGAGGACAGCGGTTAGGAGAGCACTAAGACTCCACAGACCCAGCTTGGGTCTGTCCACCCACCACAATGGAGAGTCAGGAAGACCTTTCCACCCGAGGTCTGTTAAGTTCGGCTCTATTCTCCGTCAAGCCCCAAACTCTAGGCTAAGGAAAGATGGGCTTTTCTTGAAAGCAGACATGGATTGTAAAAATGAGGGGGAAGATCTGTATGATACTATTCTCTTCTTTGGGAGGCAGATGGGGGCTTATGCCTTCAATTCAGTGAGAGTGTGCATTGATTAAAGGCTAGACTGGAGTTTTGGCAAGACTGTCTACTCATTCATCATTGCCCCCATGCCTTTCAGTAAAGAGCCTGATGCTAACAGTCTCTCTAGACCAGTAGAGTTCAGCCTTAATCTACATCCCATCAGCTCCATTAGATATTTAGAACTTGGCTCTGTATTATAATGGTGTTTTGCTTGACTTCTATGCTCCCTGTCTCCTGTAGCTTTAGAATTTGGGCAAGGCAACTGTTGTGGGTTTGTGTCTTTGTCCATTCTTATTGGGATTTTGGCCCCTTGGGTTTCTAATTTCTTACCCTCCAGATGCTAAAGGCTAGTTTTTCTGCCTCTTAGAAGTGGGCCACTGTCTGGACCCTTCATTAGGATTCTCTATACCCAGAATTAGGGTGATGTTTGGAAGCAAGGCTACATCAGCTCCTTTTTCCACACCATTGTTCCTCCTCTGGGGATTTTCCCCCTCAAGCCTTTCATCAGCACCCTAGGAGACCTTCACAGAGTGTGCACCCCCCTACCCATCCATCTCATTTAGGTTTTCTTCTTGTTCTCAGAAGTATTCCTTGGCCCCAGTTCCTACCATGTACCCTAAAAGATGAGCCTCATAGTTAGAGATAGGCTGCGTGCAAATAGAAAGGACTCTTGGATGAAGGTGGCATCTATCTGTCTATAGGGGAAAGTCAAGTCTCTCTGCCAAAAGGCCAGCAGAATAGGCTACACGCACAAATCCCGACATTGGGCTAAAACAAAATTGATAGTCTGTTGTTACTGGGATCTCTTGGTGTTCCAGGCAGCCTCTCACTAAGGACATTTGCTCTTCCTGAGTGTTAATCTCTTGGCATGAGTTTAGTGGGAAATGTCATCTCTGGCCAACTGCAGTAGCAAGTTCTATCGGGTTAGCAAGAGGGATCTTTTAGTCTTTGGAGGCCGGTGCACGACTCTGAGACTGTTAGCATTGGTTTTAACAGCTCAGAAGCAGTCCAGATTCAGTTCTGAGCAATGCTGCTTTACCCCAGGAGTCCAGGCTTTCCGTCGTGCTCCTTACCTGCGATTGCAGCATCTTTGGGCTGTTTTCCAAGTGGGGATAAGGCATTGCATCATAGTTGGAGAGGGAGGTTTGTTTTGAGCATGGCTTTGTGGATAGCATTGCATATTGAGGGCAGAGAGCTAACAAGAGAAGAAAGTCCATGGACTCACTGTTTCTTTCCTTTGCTTTTCTGCAGCCTGCACAGATAAGGAGTTGAGGAATCTCGCGTCCCGGCTGAAAGACTGGTTTGGCGCCCTTCACGAGGATGCCAGCAGGGTCATCAAGCCCACCAGCTCTGATGCAGCTCAAGGCAGTAAGACCACTTTATCCTCACTAATTGATTTCATTTTATGTACCATATTTCCTTAGTGACTAGACACTCTTGATTTCACAGTAGCCTTTTGGGGTAATCAAAGAAACACTATGTTAAATGCACACACCAACTTAAAATATTTTCTTGATTCCCAAGCATTTCCCCCTCATCCATATAACAACTTAATTTTTTAAAGTCTGGCCACAGAACTATCCTATGTTTAGTATAGAGACTTTGGAAAGTACAAAAACTATTTAAAAATCCACCATTTTAAGAACTGTAAGCATGTTGTGGCATATACTTGCATTTTTTTCCTTGCCATACAGGAAAAAAAAAAAAATCTATGTGTCTTTGTATATACATACAACACACACTTCACAGGCTGTCTTACGAGCTTTTATCACTCAGCAACATACTTTGACCTTCTATGTTGTTGAGTAGTATTGCACTTTGTACTAGTTACACAGGACTTCAAGTAACCGAATTTATGTAATTAGGCCTCTATTTTGGAGCGTTGAAGTCATTCCTAATGTTCAGCTTCATAAGCAACTCTGTACCACACATCTTCGATAATGTATCCCCCCCCCCCCCCCCGCATCAGTGCATTGGCAGAGCCCGTATTCAGAGCCTCTTCATAAGCTAAAGAGAAAACTCAGAATGGGTGAGCATTTTTGTACCTTGATGGACTCTCATTGAACTCAAAGACGATTAGGGGTAGGCTTCTCCACGCTGTGGCCCCGTGGCTCAGAATGTCCTACCCAATAACACAGTTGTTCAAACATAGGGAGTTTTGCAACTGTAAGGATCCAGAGCTTAACCACCCTCTGGTCTTTGGGTGGTTAAGAACAGTCGCCTTAATTTTGGGTTATTCTTTGAGACTTGTAGCTATAGAGACTGGTAGAGATTATTGATCTAGGGGACTATTCTTTTACTAGTTTGGATCTTATAGTTTAAGGGAAAGATAGTGTTTGCTTCTCAGGATCTAAGTATCCAAAGAGTGGTTTTAGGTGGTTGAGTCTGTGGGAAAGAAGAAGGAAGATAGTTTCTTCTTCTAGTTCTGCTGGAGGCTTCCTTGGGAGTTTGTGGACAATTAATTCACAGATGGTGTAGAGGAACTTTTCCCTGGGACCCTCTAGGAGCAGCCCAGCTCTCGGGCTTTCTGAACAACCTTTCAAGAAGAGCAGATTGATATGCAGAGAGCTTCTCCTTGCAGCCTCCAGTCCCATGAGACTCCTTCTGCAGGCAGCTGGGGAGCTAGCAAAAGACCTGCCCTTGGCCAGAAGCAGATTGGGTCCCCAAAGAGGCTTTTAGGTTTGATGTCCCGAAGCAATTGCTGTGAAGGGAATACAAAGGAACAAGACTTGGTTAGCCCACAAGACCACAGGAGGGAGAGTTGTTTTTATCAGTTCAGGAGTTGTGAAGAGGAAACCATGGAACCTTACAAGTCCCACATGCTTGGGGCCACCTAGAAGAGCTGTTCTCTTCCCCGCTCCACCTCTACATACCAGATGCAGGTGCCTTTTCTCTAGAACCTTCCAAATGGGTGTTGGGGAGGTGGGGCCTTGACCTTTAGACTACTGCCCAACCAGCTCGGCACTTTTCTTTGGTGGTCAGTGAGCGGGAAGCTTCTCTTGGCCATGTAGTAAAATGTTAATATCCTGTAAAATTGATGCTTATTACATAAAATATTCTATATAAAACTGTGGAGCCATTTAGTGTCAGCGTAAATGATCTTGCTTTACTCAGCAGCCCCTAAGGACATCCCCATCATAGAGATGGTTCAATCATGACCTTCAAAGAAGAGGCCCCATTATGTCCCCTCTCTTGAGAAGGGGGATGTTTTCTAAGACATGTTATAAGGTGTCAATGGGAATAAATTTAAAAGCTGATTTTTATGTTTGAAGGGCCAAACTCTGCAGCAGCTAGAGAACTTCTCTCAACACATGCTTTTACTGAGCACCTATTACCTGCCTGCCCTGGCAGAGGCTACTGAACACATTCTTTGCCCTCGAGTTGCTTAGCATCTGATGAACATGAACTGACAGTAAGGGGAAGCAGAGGGTTCTGGAAGAGCTCAGAGGTGGAGGTGCTATACTTACTTCACTGGTTTCTGGACAGTAAAGACCCTTTTGTAGAAAACCAAGGCTTTTAAAAGGGTGGGTGCCTTTTGCTCTGTCTCACATTCTCCAAGCAGGGGTTGGTCATGCACACAGCAACCCGCTGAGCAGGGAGTGGGCAGTCAACCCCATCAGGGCCTCAGATGTGGCTGCTGTATCCCCCCTTGCACTGCCCATCCTCAAGCATGGTCCCTAAGCCAGCTGGATGTCCTCAAGGTAAGAGGATCACGTGAGGCACAGGCAGCCCCGGGAGAAAAGGGATTGAGAATGTAGACTCAGGCCTGGACCACCTGCCTTAGAAGCCCAGCTCCACAATTATAGGATCTTGAACAAGTCACTTAAGCCTTGAGCTTTACCCCCCCAACCCCCCGCCCATCTGTAAAGTAGAAGGCATACAGCATTTTAGAGGACTCTTTAGAAGGATTCAGTGAGATAATTAAAAATAAGGTGCTTAGAGGACTACCTTAAATAACAGAAAAATGAACTTTTACAGTAATTTTCCTGGGAAAATAAAACCACTTCTACAAATCTAGCTAATGGAACAATTTGAAATTGCATAGTGCTTTTGATTCTGCAAGAAAGACCAATTTTAGATTTGGGGCAGGCCTTCTCTGGGGGTTGTCTACAGTAGACTCAATATCCTGAGTGTTAAGCAAAGTATTATTATTCTAGTGCGTACAGTTCCATTGTGGAAACAAATAATTCTTTAAGAAAACTACCCCTCCTCCCCCAGGGAAATAAGAAAGAAATTATTGTCTGAGTCAGTTTGGATTCCATATCATGTATCTCTTTAGGGGACTGCAGAAAAGAAGAATGGGGAACAGAGGCAGGTACCTGGCTTGTTTTCCCATTAACGTTCAGACGGCTTGGATTTAACAGTCCTTTGGGACATAATCAGTGCTTCTGGATTGTGCTATATAGTTTCATTTCACTGCCATCTTTTTTTACAATAGTTTCTTTTGTTTTGGTGTTTCAGATATTTTCCCCTAAATATAAAAGTGTAGTTTGCAGAATCCCAAGTTTTTCCTTTTACTCACCATGTTTGTACTCTTCCTTTTGGTCATACCCTATTTTAAGCAAATCTGGTAAATGAAAACTTGTATTTACATCCCAGATAAATTAGTGTTGGGGAGTTTGTCCCTTTGGGACATACTTTTCTCAAACGCTGACTTCTGTTTAAGAGCATTTTAAATTATTTTATTTAACCCCCCATGCCTCAGGAGGGGAGTGGGTGGTGTGGGCCCTGGGCCTCCTCTTGGGTGGAGCCAGACCAGGCTTGGTGGCCGCTGAGATGCACCCTTTTCTCTGCAGGATTTGACACCAGCATCCTGCCCATCTGCAAGGACTCCCTGGGCTGGATGTTCAACAAGTTGGACATGAACTATGACCTCCTGCTTGACCACTCAGAGATCAATGCCATCTACCTGGATAAGTATGAGCCCTGTATCAAGCCTCTTTTCAACTCCTGTGACTCCTTCAAGGATGGCAAGCTCTCCAACAACGAATGGTGCTACTGCTTCCAGAAGCCTGGAGGTGAGGCAGGGGAAGGTGGAGGGTCCTACACTCAGGGCAGCCACACTGGGCACCGAAGGCCTGCGTATCAAACACTAGAGAGGCAGGTGGAGGTCAGCAAGCCAAAGAACACAGCTAGAGAATAAAGCAGTCAACTGATAGAATGGAAGATGCAAAGGCTCTTTTCTTCTCATTTATTTTATTTTTATCATTGTATATTAGAAGATCCAAAAGCATACTGAAAGGGCCCATTACCTCACCCCCCCTTGGGGAAAATCTCTTAATCATCACGTGCCTCAGCTTTTACATCTGTAAAATGGGTGTAGAAACCTTTGCTACATCATTGCCAACGTCACTGTGAGATCCTTTATGTGAGAAATACTGTACAAATGGACAAATACCGTAATGCTCCTTGTCACATGAATTCTCCATGTTCCCCTTGAAGAAAGCCTCTTGTCAGCTTCTCTGGGGTAAATATGGGTTTATCCTGAATCTCCTAGGCAAGGATATTTTGGTTATAAACTCCAGCTCACTTAAGAAACAGACAACATTTGAGGAGGAGGAGTATGTGGAAAGAATACAGGAGCATCTCATGTCATGGCAAGTCAGACGAGAGAGTTGCCTACAGCCTCTCAGGAATCCAGAGGCAGGAGCTCTGAGTCTCCGGGAGGGGCCACATGGTCTGAGTTTCCTTCTTCTGTCTTAGCTTCCTGGGCTTGTGCACCCAAGTGTGGCGATTCACAGCTAGTTGGACTAGCACAGAGTGGCTTGTGTCTGAATTCCAGTCCCACATCCCAAAGCTGGTTCAGCAGGAGTCAGGGATCATGGATAATCTACTCCGAGCATGGCCGGGAGAACCCAGGAATGGAAGATGGCTACAAATATTATAGTTTCAAAAAATTATGTGTGTGTCTGTTCCTCCATGCGCTCAGAGTCACTGTACACACAGCAGAAAATGTAGGCATTGCAAAAGGGCACCCGGTGTCAAGTACATGTATCTGTTGGTAGGACTACAAGATACATTCCTAAAAGCAGAATCACTGGTTGTAGGGCATGTGCATTTTTAATATAAGTATTATTTCCAGTTTGCCTTCCAAAATGGTTGTACTAATTTTTACTCTTACCAAGAATACCTAGTTCTCTGTGGTGTCATTTTTGGTGTGTTTTTAGGAATTTTCCCGAAGTGGAGGATATGAGTACTGTTCTGGTCACATGTGTTGCAAATATTTTTTTTTTCCCCAACTGTGACTTGGTGCATTTTTGCTAGGAAGAAATTTTTCAATTTAGCAATGTAAAGTTTCTCCATCTTTTATGGTTTTTCAGAAGCCATAGGGCTTACATTAAGCTTGGAAAGGTATTTTGTACCATGAAATACTAAAGCAATTCTCTTGTGTTTGTGTTTTCATCAGTACCTTTTGGTTGGTTGGTTGTCTACTGGAATCTTGTATCCCTTCAGATTTTTTCGGTGTATAGTCAGGTGGCGTCCCAGACCCTCCCCCCACCCCTGGAGAGGGTTGTTCAGTCATCTTTCTGTCATTTACAGACTAACCCATCCTCCTCCTCTAATTTGAATGCTTCCTCTATTGTATATGAAACTTCTTCATCTGTGTCTGTCTATTCCTACATCTAGTGGGGCCCTCCTCTCCTGCCACTAATCTTTCAGAATTTTCCTGGATGTTCTTATCCCACCCCTGGAGAGGGTTGTTCAGTCATCTTTCTGTCATTTACAGACTAACCCATCCTCCTCCTCTAATTTGAATGCTTCCTCTATTGTATATGAAACTTCTTCATCTGTGTCTGTCTATTCCTACATCTAGTGGGGCCCTCCTCTCCTGCCACTAATCTTTCAGAATTTTCCTGGATGTTCTTATGCTTATTGTTACACGTCTTGTTAATCTAGAGAGAACTGATAGCTATGTGATATTGAATCCTTTGATTCTAGAACAGCATCTATTAACCAACGGAGTTACCTTTTTAAGTTTTGTTTGTTTAAGAGTTTCTCTCTGTTATATTTCCTGGCTGGTGGTGGTTTCGGGATTCATCTTGTTTGCAGCCACCTTACTGAATCCTCCTTTTGTTTGTGATAATTATTCTGGCTGGTTTCCTTTGATTTTTTTCAGCCATGCATTTGTATCCTCTGCAAAGTAATCATTTTTTTCTTTTTCTATTTTTATATCTCATCTCTTTCCTCATCCTATCAGCTGGTACTTCCAAATTAGCATTGAATAATAGCCATGTTCTTATCTTAATAGAAATACTTGGAGTGGGGCCCCTGGGTGGCTCAGTCGGTTGAGCGACTGCCTTCGGCTCGGGTCGTGATCCTGGAGTCCCTGGATCGAGTCCCGCATTGGGCTCCCTGCTCGGCAGGGAGTCTGCTTCTCCCCCTGACCCTCCCCACTCTCATGCTCTCTCTATCTCATTCTCTCTCTCAAATAAATAAATAAAATCTTTAAAAAAAAAAAAGGTATTTCATTTTGCAATTCATACCATCTGCTATTTGTTTAAATCTATACCTATTTTCTGGGTGCCTGGGTGGCTCAGTTGGTTAAGCGACTGCCTTTGGCTCAGGTCATGATCCTGGAGTCCCGGGATCAAGTCCCACATCGGGCTCCCTGCTCAGCAGGGAGTCTGCTTCTCCCTCTGACGCTCCCCCATCTCATGCTCTCTCTGTCTCTATCTCATTGTCTCTCTGTCAAATAAATAAATAAAATCTTAAAAAAAAAAAAAAAAGAAATACTTGGAGTGATCCAGTACTGAGTACTAAGATGGCTTTGGGCTTGAGTCCATATAATCTCCTGTGACTCTAGCCAGGGTTCCGGCTTAACCTAAGTAAGCAAAGCCTCAGTGCTCATGCCTCCCTCAGAGGTGTGAACGCCGGGACCCTGAGGGTGAGGCTTACTAGAGGACACAGGTGGTCACCGCACTAGGTGGATTCCCTGGGTGGGCCGTCCTCTGAGCAACGGCTGAAGGAGGCCAGAACCCATCTAGGTAGGAGAAGTTGAGCCAAGTACAATCAAAGTCAATTTGTTGTAGTTGTTTCCCATTTTCTGCATTTCCCTCAAGTAAGCTACTTCATTTTTTGTTGGGTTCCCACCACCTCCCTCCCTGACCCAGAACCAGTTCTGGGAATTCTGTTTGCTCTCCACATGTCTTCATTATTTCCTGTTGATTAATGTGTCAAGGCTAAAATTTTTTCCGAGGCCCTCGTTTTGCTCTAGACCATAGGTATTCCATACATGGTATTTTTACTAGGATAAATGTGTAGATATTCTACAATTAAGGCTCTGAGCACCTCTTAGGCCCCCCAAAATTTTGAGAGCACATTTTTAATTTTCCATGTGGCAGGATTATTTATTGACTGGTTTTGGTATTTTTCTTTCGTTTTCTGTTTGGGTTTTAGAACTTTTTTTCAAAAATTCTCACTGGAATTATATGCCTTGAAAGAACACTTGAATATTTGCAAATATTGCTGTTTGCTTTTATTTTTAATACAGAAACAAAGATGCTAAGTATAAGCGTCTTAGAGCCAGAGTTTCTTATACTGCTCTCTTTAAATATGATTCTCCTAGCACTCGGTTTAGCTATGCAATAATGGGAACCCCTGCTAATTCTTTTCCCGGGGACAGATGTCATGCATCTTTAAGCTGTGGAATTAAAACTCTGGTTCCATTTGATTAGTCTTCCCATAGGAGTATCAGTAACATGGATGTTACACCTGACTTCTGCTTCAGAAACAAACTTCATTTATTTCAGTGTTTAATTCTGTCGAGGAGCAACTCTTGTCTCTGCTCAGCAGCCAGCATTTTTTTTTCTGTTAGAATTCTTAACCTGGCATTTGGTCTTGCTCTAGACTTCTTCTTGCAGCACTTTCTAGTAGGTCTCAGCATGATTTATGTTTCCTTGCTGAAAGAGAAGTAGAATTTTTACAATTACCGTGGGACATTTTGAGGAACGTGTGAATGAAGGTGACTTGTGCTGTCTTGGAATAGTCTTCCAAATGTGTATGGTTTCACACAAAAATGACCCTTTCCATTTGCAAAAGAGGAATAATGGTACCTACTTTGTGGGGTTGTTGTAAAGAGTATGACAAAGTTCTAGAACATTTTCTGGTACGTGCGTCCTAGTAAATGCTACCTTTAATCATCAAAGATGGAATTAATTTATTTCCATTTTCCTTGCTTGTCTTCAATTGGCATCTTTCTCCTATACTCAGAAGGCACCTTAAACCCAGAACTGAACAAAATTTGTTAGCTTTTCTCAAGGAACAAGCAGCAAAACAGGGTAGTGTGCAAGGCACAGGGTAACAGATGTAAAGAGGTACTTGGGTATTTACGACAGGCCCCAAAGTTGCTTGGACAGAAGTAGTGTAAGGCCCTTGAGCACATGGTAGAGCCTCCCCCAGCCACAGGACGTGCACAGCCAACTCATGGTAACACTCAAGATGGGGGAGGCCATCTTGCTTTAAGCTCAGAATGGAGTAAGTTCTCGGGAGACAGGAGAACCACACTCCCATCTGCCCTACTTAGCTGTGTGGTTCCCACACTCCCATCAGTCCTTCAGCACAAAGGTGTTTGCTTTATAATCGGGGACTTGGAGGCTGAGAGAGAGACTTGCCCAAAGCATTCAGCTATGAGGTGGCAGAGCTGAGAGTTAAGGTTTCCCTTTTCTCCATTCACTGCTTCTCTACGTGTCTCAGATAGCTTCATAGTTGTCCCTTGAGGCGTGTGTTGTACTTTGCTGGGGTGGTGAGCCAGAAGGTCTAAAGTAGCTATTCTAATCCTCTTTGTCTCCTGCAGCAAGACCTGGGGTACATGAAGTATTTGTCACCTTCCCTCTGGTTAGTTGCTCGCATATGGGCATTCAGAACATTTAACCACTAGGAATCTTTGGTCCTGGTTCTCAGCTGATTAAAACGTCTATTACCAGATCACCTAGTTGGCACCTAACATTTGCTTCCATTGAGGGTGGGCAGAAAAATTACAATGCAAGTAGCCCCCAAATACTATTTAAGTACCCCGCAGTGTAAGATTTTTTTTATTTAGTAACACTAATAGCCTGAATTTGTTTTGCTGCATAATAACAGCATATGGAGTAATTCCAGTCCCAGATGTGTCACTGTGTACATTTCACGTCAAGAGTGAAGCCAATCATTAGAGATTATGTCCTGCACCATCTGGAGACTGACTTTCATAAATGATTTTTTAGGTCTCCCTTGCCAGAATGAAATGAACAGGATTCAGAAGCTGAGCAAGGGGAAAAGCCTGTTGGGTAAGTACAATTTCTTGTTACTCACTTAAACAACTAATTAAACTATCCATGTCTCTTGTAATATCGAGCCACAGCAATGGTTTCAGTGTTTCCTGAAAGAAATGTGTCGCTTCATCCCCAGACGGCTGGCCAGGCGTAATTTTAGAATCGCTGCCTCCTCCCTTAGCCTGGGACTAGTGGGCGGGAACCCAGCACCATGTCTACCGCTAGCCCCTCCCTTACTTGAGCTGGGGAATAATACAGGAATTTACAGACCAAGTTGTCCGGGCTGTACCCTCTTCTGTATTTATAAGATAGGGTTCAAAGACTTGAGTGTGCATAATAATCCACAGAGGAAAGCATATACATTTCTCTCTCTGTCCGAATGAGACCTGTGTTTTTCTCCTGGACATGCCAGTCTGTGGCTGAGGTAGAGGTAACAAATGCTGGCTTGTTGGAAGTGCTCCCTTGCAGCTGCGTGTTCTCTTCCTCCAGCGCTCAGGGGACGTCAGGGCATTCAGACCGAGCCATTGCAGAGAGTGCTAAAGCTCATTTGTTGGCCAAAAAAGGAGTCTGTGTTGCTTTACTTGCTTTTTAAAAAGAGAGGTGCAATACCCTAATTCAGAATTATTCTTGTTAAGCCGTAAGAAGCAGGTCCGTTGCCTAAGTAGCTTGCCGTTTCAGACGTGTAGCTATTTACTGGAAGAAAATGGACAAGTTTTCTGTAGACTGTCAAAAGTAGGCAGTCTGTGAACTCTGGCAGGTTCTCCTCCACTGCTTTTTGGGTCACCTCAGAATACCTAGATGCTCTTTCTTCTACTTTTGAAAGTTATTCTATTCATTGGCTCGCCTCAGATGTTTCACTTCTGATAATGCCCCCTGTTCAACTCAGAAATGATCTGTGTGGACCTAGGTTCTAAAAAGACAAAGGCATCTTTCTGGTGTGAAGGCAAACTGGCTGGCTCCCTCCTATGCTGCGTTATTTGGGATTTGGGTGATGTACCTAAGGTGCACAGGTATAGAATTAGTATAAATCTATTTTTAAAATTTTATTTTCATTGGCTATCTTCTGGGTGCTTCATTATTTAATAATGAATGAGACATTTATAAGGTATGTAGTCTGAGATAAAATGTCTCATCTTCTATTTTCCCTACCTCACCTGAATGAAGTGCCTGTCTTTGTCCTATCATGAATCTTTATCACATCTCCCCACATATGGAGATCACTCTGGCTGAGTTATAAAAATATCATTGACCTTCTTGCACATTCTTCTTTTCATGGGGCAATTCAGGGGCATTTGAGTTTAAAAAATAAAGCAAGCCAACAACCTCCAATCAGTTATAATTACAGCCTACTTAGGAAAAGTGGTAATTCTATTACATTATAGATTTAGAGCAACACCTGCTTCTTACCTACCTGAGGCTAAGTCCAGTATGTATTTTTGTTGTTGTTTGGAAAGTGCTACTGTTTTCCAACTGCAGCTCAAGGAGAAGGATCAGTATTTCCTCACTTTTCTAGTAGTAGTTCTCCTTTGCAGACTTTGATTGAGAATCTGTTCACAAATCTCTCTGCCTTTTCATCATGGGAATCCTCTTTTTTCCTTTTCCGTCCTCCCGCTGTGCACTGGCTGAGATCGTGCGTCCAACTCCGGCACAAGCACATTTACCTGCCATTTAGGAATGATTTTCTATGGTTATCTATTTGAAAGAATAGCCGGGGGAGCAGGGTGATGAGGAGTCGTTGCCATAATCAGTAGGATCTGAGGTTAAATCCAGTTCAGAATAGCAAAACCATGGCCTCCCATGCTACACTTCTTTCTGGAGTCTAGTACTCAGAGACCTTTGTCTTCACATCAGTGTTACTACTCTGGTCACAGGAGTATTTTCCCATAGAAGATGAGCACGCAGTTGTGAAACACTCTAAGAAAAACCAAAACTGAGATACAGAGGTATTCTCAAACCATACGTTAAGTTTACTAGCCCCAGACTTACTAAAATATCACCAAAGAATTTACTCTATAGAAAAGAAACAAGACATGCTGCTAAATCTAAATAAATATGACCTATAGAAATGTTCTATAGCAAGCAAGGATTAAAATTTCAGACTTTTGGGGACAGTGTTTCCTAGATTAACTTGAAACCTTATTATGGAATTTCCCCAGAGAAAGACATAACAAGAATATATTGTTGTCAAAACTATACAAAAAAAAGATGGACCTAAAAAACTTGATCATTTCAACAAAAATCAGGAAAGGGGGAAAAAGAAGAGCATGTGTATCTGTAATCACAATAAATGGACCAAAACTCATTATGAGACCAACTGTTGCTTTTAGACATAAAAGTAAAACCATTACACCAAAAGTTGAAATTAAAAGCTACTAAAGACTCCTTTTCATAAAAACATGACAAAAGCAAATATTTTGTCTTGAATTCTATAAACAAAGGAGGAATATCATATTGCTGAAATGTTCCTTTTTCTTTTACCATATTATGGTATGCCGGTAACTTAAAAGAGAATTACAAGGGGGAATCGTCATACCTATAACTGTAATTGGACACATAACATACCTCTTGAAACTTAGCTTAAGTAGAAGAAATGAATAACATGATTAATTAGCATTCATATATATGTATTCCTGTACTAAGCATGGAATGTATTGTCTTTTCAAACACAATAAACAATCCCCCAAAACCTATCAATCACAGATTAAATTCACTTGCTAAAACACAATTAGATTATTTACCTAAACCCCATACACAGAGGGGGGAGAATATAAAAAATGAAATAGAAAGTACAAAACATTTAGAAGTAAAAGTTTTGTATACCAAATGAAACTTACCTTCAAATGCATTAAAAAAAAACAAAACGGTAAATGTTTTAATTAAAAAGCTTTATAGGAATAATGCAAAGTGAAACAATCAAGACTAATGTAGAAATCCATGAAATTGGCAGTAGGAAAAGCTCAAATACTGTTATGAATTGTAACTTCAGCTATAGGACACTGCTATAAACTTGTGGTTTTCAAATTTCAGCATTAGAATCACTTGGAGGGTTTATTAAAACAGTTTGCTAGGCCCTTCTCTCAAAGTTTCTGATTCAGCAGATCTGGGGTGGGGCCCACGTATTTACTTTTCTAAGATGTTTCCAGGTATAAACCAAATTCAGGAGTACATTAAAAGGATCATTTACCATGATCAAATGGGATTTAACCCTGAGATGCAAGGATGATTCAAAATAATAGAATGTGGTATCTGAATAGATGCAGAAAATACATTTGACAAAATTCAGCATCCATTTATGATTTTTAAAAACTCAACACAAATTAGGTATAAAAGGAACAAACCTCAGCATAGTAAATGCCACATACAACAACCAACATCATACGCAATGGTGAAAGGTTGAAAGCTTTTCCTCTAAGGTCAAGACTAAGACAAAGGTACCCACTCTTAATACTCCTATTCAGCATAGTACTGGAAGTCCTAGCCAGTACAATCAGGCAAGAAGAGAAACAAAAGGCATCCAAGTTGGAAAGGAAGAAGTAAGATTTTGTTTGTAGCTGGTATGTTTTAACCAAGGAAGTGAAAGATCTATACACTGGAAACTATATGACACTGATGAAATAAATCAAAAACAACACAAATAAATTGAAAGGAATCCCATGTTCATGGATCAGAAGAGTTAATACTGTTAAAATATCCATAGTACCCAAAGCCATCTACAAATTAATTGCTATACCTATCAAAAGTCCAATGGAAATTTTTGCAGAGGTAGAAGTAACAATCCTAAAATTCATACAGAACCACAAAAGACCTCAAATAGCCAAAGCAATCCTGAGAAAGAAGAACAAAGTAGGAGACTCCACACTTCCTGATTTCAAGCTATATTATCAAGGTACAGTCATCAAAATGGCATGGTGGCATAAAAACAGAAAGATCAAGGAAACAATCAAGAGTCCCATAATAAATTCATGTATATAAGGTCAACTAATATTTGGTAAGGGAGCCAAGAATACTCACTGGAGAAAAGACAGTCCCTTAAATAAATGGTGTTGGGAAAATTGAATATTTATATATAAAAGATTGAAACTAGATCTCAATTTTTATGAGTGGTATAAGATAAATTTGAAATGGATTAAAGACTTAAATGTAAGAATGGAAACCAGAAAACTCTAAAAGATAACATAGGGAAAAAGCTGGGCCTCGGCAATGATTTTTTGGATTGGTTGCACAGCAAAAGAAAACCTACCGAATGAGAAAAAAATATTTGCAAACCATGTATGTGCTAAGGGATTAATATCCAAAATGTATAAAGAACTCACACAATTCAACAGCAAAAAAAAAAAAAAAAAAAAAAAAAACTGATTTAAAGATGGGTAGAATATCTGAATAGACATTATTTTTTTAAAGATTTATTTATTTATTGAGAGAGAGAGGGAGTAGGAAGAGGGAGAGAACCTTCAAGCAGACTCTCTACTTAGCACAAAGCCTGATGCAGACTTGATCTCACCACCCATGAGATCATGACCTGAGCAGAAACCATGAGTCAGACACTTAACCAACTGAGCCACCCAAGCACCCTAGAATGGACATTTGTCTAAAGAAAACATACAGATGGCCAACAGGTACAGCAAAAGATGCTCTATATCATTAATCATTACAGAAATGCAAATCAAAACCACAATGAGATACCACCCCATACCTGCTACAGTGACTATCATCAAAGCAACAATGACAACAAATGTTGGCGAGGTCACAGAGAAAAGGGAAGCCTTGTGCACTGGTTTTTTTTTTTTTTTTAAGATTTTTTTTTTAATTTATTTGAGAGAGAGAGCACTTGAGTGGGGGAAGGGTCAGAGGGAGAAGCAGACTCCCCGCTGAGCAGGGAGCCTGATGCGGGACTCGATCCCGGGTCTCCAGGATCATGACCTGAGCTGAAGGCAGTCGCCCAACCAACTGAGCCACCCAGGCGCCCAGCCTTGTGCACTGTTGATGGGAATGCAAACTGGTACAGCTACTATGGA